CACACACACACACACACACACACACACACACACACAACCCTCAAACAGAATGGCCACCTGCTATCCCTTCTCTACAGTATCTCACGATCTCATGACAACCCTGCACTGTACCAACTGTAAGCAGCCATGCACTAGACTGGGGGACAAGTGCGTGGGGTGCGAAACTAACACCAGCTAGACTTGCACAGGAGAGGCTGAGGGCATACTGGAGTCGAACCCACAACCTCTCCCTTGCTACTCCAGAGCTCAAACCAAGTGAGCTACCACCATTGGGACGGAGTCATCACAAAGAGTTCTGCCAGACCCCTTCTGCTATCAAATAGGTGGTCTTGGATGCTTTTTTCTTTTTTTCGCTTTTTTTTTTTCGAACGCCACATGCAGGAAGGCCCACTTAGCGAGGTGATAAGAGCTGCCCCATGAAGTGAGTCCCTGCGTTGAAGGCTCCATCTATTGGTGCGTAGCTGCACCTGCTGGAAATCGGGTCCAGCCGCCAGCGTTCCTATACACTGCTGATTGTAGCTCTTGTTTGTGTGGCCTGTGTCAAGTGTGTGTATACTGTGTGTATGATGTGGTATACGATGTCTGTATATGGGGCAACTACAAATCTATGTGTAAAAAAAAAAAAAATTGAAAAAAATAAATCTCTGTGTACTTTTGTTGTCAGACCTAAGAGCTCTGCTTGCACAAGTACACCAGCATCAGACTCCCTCATTATTTAGCCAGCTTCTTTTCCAGCGAGAGCATTATGAGGTAGGCTTAGCGGAGAGACGTCTTCCACCCTCCTAACCTTACACACTAATACACTATGGCATCAGACCCTGCCATGGTAGCAGCTGTCTCATCTTATCTTCATGGTGATGATGACCACCATCATCCAGTGAATTGTTGCTTTTCTAATTGAAGTCCAGATTCTTATGGGTACCCTACGTGCAGTCAATTGTTTTGCAATCCTCCTGGTGCTTTTGTATCAACTCTCACCATGGGTCCATGGTTGGTAGATGATTCTCTCGACCATTGTCACCGTGAACATAACCATGATTGTAATCATTGAAATCATTGTCATCCTCTTGATCATGGTCATAATCATGAGAGTACCATAAGCATTATCAGATTATCATCACCACTATGCTAGTTGTGGTCTTATGATAATCCAGTGCCTTGTTTGTTCTTTCATGCATGATGACGAGGAGGAGGATGAGCTTGTAATGTATTATCATGGCTGTATTTCCAGATTCATGCCTGGGAGGTAACACGTGTACTGGGTGACGTCGATCATAAGAGTACCATGAGGATTGTCAGATTATCAACACCATTATGCTAGTTGTGGTCATTATGCTAGTTGTGGTCATTATGCTAATTGTGGTCATTATGATAATTCAGTGCCTTGTCTGTTGTCTTTTTTCATGCATGATGATGATGAGGAGGAGGAGGATGAGCTTGTAACTTATTATCATGGCTGTATTTCCAGATTCTTGCCTGGGAGGTGACACGTGTAATGGCTGGCGTCAATCATTCTATGCTTTACCAGCTGCCTCGTCAACGGTTGAAGTGCAACAGACTAACAAGGACGCAGTAGCTCCTGCTCAGCAGGATAAAGCACCGCCATTGGAGGACAGAGTGCCACCAGGGCCACGTACACCAGCAGCAGGGGACCTAGTACCGCCATCAGCACCAGCAGGGGATGAACTGCCACCACCACGAGCTGCAGGGAGTCAAGAGCCACCACAGTCGCCACCAGTGGGGTCCTACAGGGAACCACCCCCGCCGGCTGTGGGGAATGACGAGGGACCACCCGAACCACAAGTGACGGATGAAGAGGAACCTGGAGAGCCACCACCGCCCTCACCTCTTGAGGATGTACAGCCAGGTCCGGAGAACATAGACGAGTCCAATGATGAAGTCGTGTTCTGGCCCTGGTGTCGAGGCAATGGCAGTTGTGCAGAGTCATACATCTGCAGCAGTATTGATGTTCGTTCTATAGACTTTGACGACCAGAATACTTGCACCAGGCAGTGTAAATGCAAACGAGCGGAAATCACATGCTCCAATTGCCTTGGAAAGTGCACACTCATGTAAGAGCTCCTCCTGGCAACGGGTTCCTTCTGTTTCTTTTGTTTTGTTTTGTTGAAAACAGGTTAGCTCATGAGATTATTGCATTTAGCAGATTTGAACTCATGACATGTTTAGACTGGAGCTTGTTCAAAAAAAAAAAAAAAACTACAGCAACATGTAAATATCACACCCACCCTGTTCAAGGCAGCCCGGAAAATAGGTGGCTGTAGATAAAAAAGTTGGGGTCTAGCTCAGTTGGTACACACATGAACTGTTGAAATACAGACCCAAGTTCAACACCAGATGCAACCAGATGACAAAAACAAAATCATTCTTTTTTTTTTTCAAAGGTGTAATGAACCCAGTCGTATTGAGAAGCCAATCAAAATAATGTCTCGAAAATCGATTATGTGTCCATGCCCAGCATATGTGCACTTTCCAAGAGCATCGTAACTTCAGAGAAGAGAATGAGGTAGTTGGGAGAAGAGACAGAGGAGGAGAAGAAGAAGAGTTCCCATCAATCATGCATGAAGTCTCTTCCTGCACTTTTTCCTCAGGCATTATCCCCCCCGTTGCCACCTCAGCAATGCAGTGTCTCTCTGACGCTCTCTGACAGATACAGTGTTGTAGGTCATAGCCGCGGGCCAATCCTCCATCCACATCGGCAACCAATCAGGGAGGATGGCGCAGGTCTTCCTCACCTTTGTGGAGATAAGCAGAAGATCACACACGACGTCGCCAGGAAAGTCCAGGTAAGCTTCCCCTCAAACCCTCTCCAGTCTCACAGTATCGGTCCTCCTCCTCGCCCAACCTCAACACCAATGTCTATAGCTATGGCAGCAATGGCCGCTCCAACATAATCTCCCCTGATGCTGCCGCCCACCCAGCAGCGATGGCGCCAGAATGAACTCCAGCAGCCTCGCGATATCGTACTAGCATCAAGCCAGCACAAGGCAGAATGATCCCCACAGTGGCTGGGTCAACTCTATATAGCGTTGACTCACGTTGACCAGCCTCCAATTTTTTTGGGTTGACGGCCCAGATGATCCGAAAACCAACGGCCTGGATGCAGCACAGTACTAGCTTTCCCTCGTGTCGCACATGGACTGGAATCTGCTGGATACTTGCACACAACCACTAGTGTGCATCTGAGCGACGGCTGTAGCTGACGAGCGGGTTGACTTTGACTTTGGGAATGGAATCCCGTGCTTGGGTTGACTCTTGATTTTCCAAGAATCAACTGTCTCACGTTGGGGTACGGGACACGACTTTTGACGCAGATCTTGGTACCCCTTGACCCTAGGCACTTTCTCAGACATTTCTCAGGCTAGGGACGTGACTTTTCACCAAAAGTGACAACCGTTGTGCCGATCTGAACTGGGTTTACTACATTCCATCCGCCCTGATTTCAAGTTCCACCACAGAAATTATTCTTTCAGGCTCGGTTTTCTCTTAACCCTTGTTCATATGCGGCAACTATATTAGGGGCAGTAGGTAATAGTTCTTTCTTGCTGAACCATCTAGCTTCAGATTCTGGCTGGCTAGTGAACTTTACCTTATACTGCTCCTGCGATCGCCCTCTTCCACCTGTAGAAAAGAAACCGTGTTCAATGATCTTTTCAACCTGGTACCCCCCGTCCGTTGAAGGAGGAAACATTGATGGTCTGTTTGGAAATCCTTACCTTCGACATAGGGTAACAGTTGAGACTCATGGAAGACTGGTATGTCTTCAGTTGCGGGGGTACATCAATGCGGTAGGAAGGTCCACCAACGTCCCCAACGACTTTGAGCACTTCCCAAGGTCCATAATAGGCAGGCAACAGTTTTTTAGATACGACTTCTTCTAAAGAAAATTCATTAGACTTTACCCAAACTAAATCTCCTTCTTTGAATTGAGCAAGTCTGCGATGCTTATTGGCTTGCTCGATCACCTGAGTCTGGGCTTTCTTAATATTTTCTTTGACTTTTGCAATATCTTGTTCATACAAAAATGCAAAGTTTTGGGTTCCTGGGGACAACCTTTGGATCTAGTCTCTTGTTAGACAGTGAATAGGTCTCAGGGGTTGCCAGCCTTTATGTAGTGCATTCGGTGTCCGTCATGTTACTGTGTGGACACTGTTATTGTATGCACTACCTATCTTAGGCGGGTTCTCATCCTAGTCTACTTGGGCAGGTCTCACATACATGCGCAAAAGGTGCTGGCAGACTCTGTTCATTTGTTCTGTCTGTCCATTCGTTTCAGGATGTCATCCTAACGATATGGTCAGTCTAGTGCCATATTCTTCCATTAGCATTTGCCATTGTTCCCCTGTGAATCTCACATCTCCATCAGATACGATTGTCTTAGGAAAACCATACTAAAAAAACCATCACATCTGAAATTTTTGAATGACAAGTTCAGTTTTGGCCTCAACAGACAAGGGAATAAACATAACATATTTTCAGAACCGATCCACAATGACCATGACTTGATTGTTCCCATCCCGATTCCTCGTTAGACTCATGAAGTCAATTGAGATAGACTCACCTAGTCAGTTAGGAATGGGAAGTGGTCTCAGTAGTCCCAAGGGGTTCTCAAGGGACGACTTGTTGCGCTGGCACACAAAACAGGTTCTCACATAGGTTAGAACGTCCTCTTTCATCCCTTGCCAATCAAACCGTTTCCGATCATAAGCATAGGTCTTCTTGAAGCCAAAGTGACCTTCGATGTCGTGACATTCACTCAAAATTAAGCTTTTCACTGCTTCATCGTGGAGTACACAGATTTGTTCTGCACCTTTGTCCAACAAGAAGAGAATGTCATCAGTCATCTTGTATTATGGGAGGCGTTTAGGATTTGTTTTCAGAGATTGGCTTATAGGTTGCCATATTCCATCTCTAGCTTACCCTTCTCTGATTTTGTCTTTCAATTCGCTTCCTATACCATGCTAGGTAACAATAGTTCCGAAGAAATCAGATTTTCTCTAGAGAGCGTCAGCTACCACGTTGTGCTTACCTTTAATAGTTTTCAACTCAAAGTCAGAGGTATTTATGATAGCAGCCCATCATGCTAGTTTGTTGGACAGTCGTTGTTGTGTCTTGAGCCACTTTGGTGTCTCATGGTATGGGTAAACCTTGAAGTGTCTGCCCAACAGGTAATGCTTCCGCATCGCTAGCGTCTGTAACAAAGCCAACAACTCGAAGACTCTCTCTTAGGTGGAGTTAGCCAATTTCTTAGAGGGTAGGTAGTGAGACATAAACTCAATAGGTCTATGCCCCTTCCCATCATCTTGATGCAAGGTTGCCCCTATCCCATACTAACTCGCATCAGTCGTGACGAGGAATGGAAGTGAGGGATCAACGATTTTGAGAACAGGGTAGTGAGTCAGTGCATACTTAAGCTCCTTAAGTGACGACTAACAATTTTTTTCCTATAGGCAAATAGTTTCTTTCTTCAACAACCTCCTTATTGGGGCCGCTATACTAGAGAACTTCCTTACAAACTTCTGGTAGTAACTTTCCAAACCTAGGAAGGAGTGCAATTCAATTAGATTCTTTGGCTTAGGCCATTCCCTGATCGCAACAATTTTCCTTTCTTCTGGCTTAAGTCCATCTTCATCCACTATATGTCAAAGATAGAGAACTTCAAACTTAGCAAATTCTGATTTTGGGGGGTTTAATAATTTAATTTGAAGTTGCCTTCACATAATTTATGCAAGATCATCCGTAGGTGTTTCTTGTGGTTGTACAACGTCTTACTGTAGACGAGGATGTCATCGAGATAGACAACTACGAACCAATCGAGCACTCACAAAAAAATTGTTCATTGACTGGTGAAAAAGGGGCGTTTGGTGAGACCAAAGAGCATGACCACAAACTCCTAGTGACCATACCTTGTTCGAAACGTCGTCTTTTGTTGATCCTCAAGGGCCACCTCGATCTAGTGGTAGCCTGACTTCAGATCAATCTTGCTAAAAATTTGCAACCCTGCAATCGATCAATCCGAGGTAATGGTTTCACACTTTTTAACAATTATGACATTCAATCCTCGGTAATCAATGCATAGTCTAAGCTCACCTTCCTTGTTTGGCGCGAAGAGCGTAGGTGCACCATAAGGAGAGGAACTCGGCCTAATCCATCCCTTCTGAGTAAGTTTCTGCAATTGTGTCTTTCGTTCTTCCAATTCATGTGGGGACGTATGATAGATTGGTCCTTTGGGAATCTTACTGGCGGGAATAATCTCGATCGTGTGCTTAGTAGTTCTTTCGGTTACTCTTGTTAGTTCAGTTTGCAAGTCCTTATATTCGTCAAGTAGTTTATCAATAGAAGGAGGGTCAGAAGTACCCGTGGTGGGGAACTTTTGATTCACCCCCCCCATAAACATTTTTTTCTTGTGGTGGGGTGTAGCATGCTGGGGCCTGCCACACGGGCCCAAATGCCCGACTTTCGACCCTTCGGCCCCACAGGCCGTTGTAAGGCCTAACCCCGTTAGACTTTCGAGTCTGTGTCGACCCCACTGTGGGTCCCAGTTGGCTCGGCCCGCCCACGCTCACGCTCAGGGCGCGGGTCATTCGTCCCGGGGCCACCCCCACCTAGTGCTTTGAGATGGATGGGGGTGGGCCATCGAGCGAGAGAGCTTTGACATTGGGGATGTAGCTCAGCCCTCACGCCGGGTGGTAGTCTCGCTAATCGTTTTCGCAAGCGCAAGTTTTATGATTCTTGGTTGTGTTTTCAGGCAAATGTTCCTTTCAATACTCAAGCAGTCCACGGGGGGGTTCATTGAGAAATTTTATTTTTTGTGCGTAGGCTAAGTGTCCTCCTTAGGCCACGCACCCTTTGCCTAAAGCAACAGTCTGGTGGCATCATCGGGGCGCGATAATGTCGTCTTCCCCCTCCGCCCCTATGCATTTCGTGTTCGACACATTCCATCCATCGCCATTGTTGCATGCCCCTTAGTCTTTTCGGGGCCTCCTTACACAGGCAAAGACTACATCATACTTCAATAAACCAAGACTTTATTCATTGCCCAACCCGCACACAA